TAGCCAATAAGATGAAACCATAAAATACTTGCTAGAATGTTTAGCCTATAAAGATCAGCTACAAAAGATATGGAACAAAGGAGTAAATGAAATCATTAGAGACTTTAAAGAGCTATTGTAAGAAAGAAAGAAAGAGGTTAAAGAAAAAAATTCCAGGCTAAGCATTGATGACCATAAAGAATTAGGAGAGTTTGACAAATGGATCACTAAAGTAGTGGGATAGACTTCTGGAACAAGTCAGAATATATTAAGTTTCTGTACTGGCCTTATAAGAAATGACCTTATCCTAGAAGTGGTAGATTTAAAATGTCAAGAAAAACAAATAAGAAGAACAGCAAGAAAGTGGATATTGAAAATGCAAAAAAGAGTCTGTAACCAAATTCGAAAAGAAATCTGGAACAAAAGATGTGAAAATATAATCGAATGGAAACAAACACAAGGAATCAGTAATGAAGATAAAATAAAAAGACCTCCTTGTCTTTCAGGCCAGAAAACTATATTCCAGAAGAAATGAAATCCATTACCTGAAGAAGGAAACCTTAAAGATGAAAGCCTCCGAGAAATCCTAACAAGAGGAGTAGAGTATGGAAGAAATGGTTGAGTTTTAAGCTTTGTCAGAACTGTACAGAGTGATCTGCAGTAGTAACCTGCAGGCAATGAAGTTAACAGTTGGAAGGGTCTTAATTAAACTGCTAATGAAATGATAAATCACTCCCGAAGTTGCACTTAGAGTTTTAATAATGCTTAAAATAGAGACGAGTGAGTTAGGTAGAGACTTAGTTTTAGCGATACATTTTGAATATAAAGTATACATAAGTTTAATAAAGCATACATACCTAGCCTGACAGAGGGTTTAAAAAAATAATAATAATAATTATTATTAAAAATTTTGATTATGTAATAATTATTTATTAATTTATATATATACTGTATATAAATTTGTTGTTTACATATTTATTTTTTTATAACTCATTGTTATTATTATTAAAAATAACTTCTCAAAGTAAAGAACTTACCATTTTTGAGCATGGAGAAATTATTGGAGCTTGGAAATGTGGAATAAGTGAAAGAAAAATAGCAGAAACATTAAATTATCAAAAAACTACTATTCATAATATTATTTTTGCTTATAAAAATAATATTTATGAAAAATCTCCTCCTAGAAGTGACAGACCACCTATTAAGATAGAAAGTTATAATAATCATTTAACAATAATTGTTAAAAAAAACAAAAAAACAACACTTCAAGAAATATATAAAGAATTTATTAATTCTACTTTAACAAATGTTTGTATAAATACTATACAAAAATTTCTTCATAAACAAGGTTTTTATGGAAGAGTTGAAATTAGAAAGGTTCTTGTGAATGAAACTAATAGAAAAAAAAGATTATTATGGATTAAAGAAAAAAGAAATTGAAAAGATGAATGGAATAATATTATTTGGAGTGATGAATCAAAATTTGAATTATTTAAAGAAGATGGTAAAAAATGGGTTTGAAGAAAACCACATGAAAAATATGATATAGATTGTCTTATTTCTACAATAAAATTTAATCAAGAAGTAATGGTTTGGGAATGTTTTACTAAAAATGGTCTTGATCCTTTAGTTAGATTAAAAGGAAAAATAATAGCACAAATTTATATAGATATATTAGAAAATAATTTATTATCTTATATAGATACTTTGAAAAACAAAGAAATTATTTATTTCAAGAAGATAATATATATATACATATAGCAAAATTAACAAAAAATTGGATAAATAAGAATAATATAAATATTCTTCCTTGACCTACTTAAAGTTCTGATTTAAATTCTATTGAGCATTTATGGAATGAATTAGAAAAAAAGTAAGAGCACACAAGTTATTATCAACAAATATAAATGAATTATATGAAATACTTCAAGAAGAATGGATAAAAATTGATATACAAAATATCAAAATCTTGTTAATAGTAGGTCTTCTAAAATTAATACTGTTATAGATAATAAAGGTTATTTAACAAAATATTAAATATAGATAATTTTATAGAAGAAATTATATTTTTTAAATAAAATAACTTTTTAAATAAACAAAATTTTAATAATAAATAAAATTTTAATAATAAAAAAATTTTTTTTATATTTAATTATAACTATTAAATAATTTTAATTAATTACTAATAGTATCTATATACAATAATTTTTTTTTATTATTAAATCTTATTTTTATATAATAAGTAAGGTTATTTCTTAGAATAAAATATATATACTGTAAAGTTTTTATTAAATTTGAATAAATATTTAATAATAAATTTTGTAATTTGTATTAAAGTAAAAATTTTTTATATTGTATTAAATAAAAATTTAAATATTAAATAGAATTTTATAAAACTTAATATTTAAGTACTTTAATATATACTAAATAAATTTATTAATAGTAAATTATTTTTTAAACAATAGTTATAAAAATTAGGTATGTATCAAAATTTTAACAAAAATGTAAAAAAAATTTTATTTAGAAATAATGCATTAAATGCAATAATAAAAGTGATTCCAAATTTCATAAATTTTTTATTGTAAATAGAATTTATTATAAGGAATATGTTTACTTAATACATAAAATAAGTTTTTATTAATAAAATAAAATGTTTTATATATAAAAACTATTTCTAATTAATTTTAATAATTTTTAAGTTGTCCTTCATTTATTGGAGACATTGTATATTATTATTAACAAAAAAGTTTTTAAAGTATCTAAAAACTTTTTATTTTTAAAGTAATTATTTATAAAGATTTTTATAATAAAGGAATTTCTTTTCTTTTATTATCATTTATTAATATTCTTATAGAACTTTAGTATTTATAGTTGTTTAAAAATTTTTTTTTATTTAATTTAATTTTAAATTTTTAAATAATATAATTTTTTTTATTTAATATAAGATACTGTATATGGATTTTTAAAATAAAAATAAGTTTTTATTGATTATATTTATATGTTTCAATAATATTATTTAATTAGAAAAAAAAGTTTATATAGAAGTTTTTTTCAATTAAATAAGTTTTTGAAAAAAGCAATTATAATATCAAAAGATAAATAATCAATTATATAATTTAATGTATTAACTTTTATTTTTTATTAACTTTTCAAATAATTAAAAGATTTTTTCAAAAAAAGACAAGGTTTTTATGTTTCTATTTCAACTGGACAAAGTTTTTAAAGAAATTCTATTATTCAATTAAGTAAATTTTATCAATATAATAGTGATTCAAAAGATAAAATAAATAAATCTATATATCAATCAAAAGATAAATTTCTCAGACATTCTTAAAGAAATTTATTATTTAAGAATAACTAAATTTTAAATAATTTAAAACTAAAAAATATTCAATTAAGTAAATTAATTTTAAAAAAAGGTTATTGAATTGATTAAAAAATTTTTGAAAAAGTCTTAAACTGATTTCTTTTTTTTTTTACAGTATTAATTTGATAATTTATTATTTTTTTGAAATAATTTATACTGATAAACTATTGATAAGATAAAGATTGAATATCAATTTATTAGAAAAATAAAATATTGTTTTTTAAATTTGACTTAGAGTATCTAATTTTTTAAGTAATATAATCTTTCAACTAATAACATATAATGACAAGTTAGCTGTCATGTGAACAGTCCATGTAATATTGTAGATGTCTCAATAAAGACATGTCACGATGGCATAATTGTAAATTAAAAATATTATTAAATTTATTATTATCTTTATTTTCGATAGAATAATCAATAAAATCTTTAAAAAATCTATTTTTATATCTCAAGTTATTGTATTTATATTTCAATATCAATATCCATACATTATGACTATTTATTAACTTTCTTATTATCACAACCAAAAAAAAAATATTGTATATGCCTATAGTACAGATGAAATATGTGATGGTCAAAGAATAAATAAACACCAAGAGAATATATAAATACATTTTTCCTGAAAACAATCGAGGGCAGGTCACTCCGCAGGAGTTACATAACTAGCCGGAAATTGACCTCGCACTCCATTTAAGGTCCCTATTCAACAAAAATGAGGGAATTCACATAAATAAAAATTATTTAATTAATCACTTAAATTCATCAAGCACCTACCCTCCCACCATCCATTGCCAACATCCCGATCTGTGACTTCTATCACGTCACCTTCCTTTATTGTGAGTTCCTCGGGTGATTGGGCATCGTAATCATATAACACCCGAACTTTAAAAAAAAGGCATCAAAGACAGAAAAACAAAATAAGAAATAGATATGTCGAATAAGTAATTCATACATACCATAATCACCGCTTGAAATATATTCGATATAAGTTGCGGGGACTAATCCAGATCTCCCATTATATGTCGCCTTTCGATAATACCAAATGGTTAGGTGGTGTCAAAATTAAAGTATCATCTCTGCAGTCGTAAACATTAGACATTAAGTCATACCATGACCCATCCAGACCCGTCTAAATGCAAAATAAACAAATACGGACAGACTTGAGTAAATATTAATTTGAGGAAAGGAAGGGATGGTTACCGTATTGGTTATGACTTATGGCATTACCATCTTGTTCTATAACTGTAATAATATCACCGGAAGAAACACTTAATTCGGAAGAACTATCAGCAACATGATCATACAGCACCGTCGCCGACCATGTTTCATCAACCACTTCTTGATCATTCGTAGATGATGAATGAACTGGTGACGATGACCTGCCACTTCTATGGTTATTATTTCCTAAAATTGGAGCAAACAAAGTAAACAAATCGAACGGGGAATAAAATAGACATGAAGACAAATACCGAATCGCGTTCCCCTAGGTGATATTTCACCAGCAGCGTCGTACATGGTGCCACGTTTAATGGAACCCCTCATTTTTGTACAATTTGGAGGAACTTTCATTTCACATTTAACGTGGCAGTTATAGCCGCATTCTGTAATAATAGGTAAATGAGCTTATATTCATATCCCCTTCACATCCCAATTCAATTAAAATCAAACCTTTGCAAGTGAAACCCTGCTTTGCAATACCCCAAATAGAGCTTTTGCAAAGATCACATGTGGTGGGTATGGTGAATGCTGCTACCTTGAAATCATGCATTTGATGTTCATTTTCACCATCTTTTTGTAGAATAAAATCGATGTCATTCGACACTTAACATAAAAAATCTAGATGGCGATACCAGAAACCTCTTACCTCCAATGAATTCTACAATGTTATCCACTTCGGTCTGGTATGTAGTTAGCGTATTTTCCAGGATAGTGAATTTACGAATCGCCTCGTGCAGTTTCTAAGATTATAGATGGATAAAAAATTAAATAAATATGAATGATTCACTAAAAAGTAGAAAAAATTAATCTCGAAAAGACGCATACATCGGTGACATCGTCAGGATCTCCGTGCTTAGGATTGTTTTCATAAGCATACTTTAGAGATTCCAATCCATCAATCTCCTTCCTCTTTAATTCAATTTCCGAGATTAATTCTGGCAGTTTTTGTTTTGATTTTAAAAGTTTGTTGCTGAGAAAAACTCGTGTATTTCCACTATCAACCATTTCGTCCTTTCGAAGGTACGCGCATTAGAGACTTGGAAAATACATAGTAAATTAAGATGAACCATCCTAATTCTAATTTCACTTACATCTTCTTTAAATGCCAACGAAGACTCGAATTTGAAATCAGGTGCCTCATTCCACTTTTTTTTGTTATATGTTAAGAATATTCGTGAATCAATGCGAACATCGATGTTCCGAATGGCTTCACTCATCATCTCGAGATGCAGTTTAGAGTCATTTAGCATAGACTGATCAAGATCAACATATTCGTTCCATATTCGCTTTAAAGCAGTGGTCTTACTTTCGTTGAGTTCTTGTAATTGCTAATGAAATAAACAACAATCACTTAAAGAAGGAAGCCAATGTAAATTTACCGACAAATACAGGAGGTATTTACGTCGAGGAGCGCCGGTACATCCGCATTCTGATATTTTGATTTGTGCTTATTAGCTATTCGTATTGACAGAATATATGAGTTCTATATAAAATATAAAAAAAAAAAAGAGTTGAGTTGGTGCATCTTTTACCGATTCAATGTAACACAATATTTAACTAATTGGAATTACCTTATTATTATTCATGTCTATCGCATTCTCTGAAGCTTGTTTGCGCAACTGAAAGGAAAAAATTTTAGATAAGGGAGAAAGAGTAACAAACAACAATGCACAACCGGGTGAGAAGTGATGATACCTTTTCCAATAATCTTTCATCGGGCGCCCTTTCTTGTTTTTGTTGGGAAGCTTGAGTTTCCACGCAAGCCTCGTCGTAACGAGATTTCGCCTAACGTTTGAATTTAATTAACCCTGGGAAGGATGAAATGATAATAGAATTCGCACCTACTTTTTGCATTTCTGAGAATACTTTATCCCTATCGGAGGTCAACTGTTGGTGAAATGACGCGTGCTAAAATAAAAGAGAGGCATGATATAAACAGAATGATTAAAAAAAAAAAAAAAAAATCGAAAAGTTCCAATATGTCTTATAACAACCTTCTTTCTTATCTCCTCCTTTTTAGTAGCGACTGCTTTGATTTGTTCAGTTAAATTTGTTGATAGTGACTCTGAAAATTTGGACCTTTCTCTGGCTATGTTTTCAGTTTCTTCAAGGAGGGTCGTCCATGCTTTCACAAATGTACTATAAAACATTAAAAGAGAAAAAGGATTTTTGTTTCAGAATCATTCACGCAAATTGATCATTGAAAATAACTCTGTACCTGGGTTCGGATTTAGCATTGTTAAAGTCCCTCTCGCTCAAAGAATTTGCACTTCCAACAGACATGGAGACCTCCTTCTTCTCTTTCTTTAATAAATATTTCCTGGCGAGTGCTTCGATTTTACCTGCATATTCTTTTTCTATCTGAGCTCGTTCTTTTATGAATTCGCGAACTTCATTTAAAAATTGAATTCCGCCGGAAACGAATTGGTTAACCGTCGAAAATTGATCCTACGTGAGCAGTAAAAGTAAGGGGTCCACTGTTATCAAACCCGTTGATTTTTGCGATTAGAAATTAAAGAGACGCAAGAAGAAACGTTACTTTTAATTCTGACCCGAAGCTCATGGTTGAAATGATATAAAGAAAAAATTATGCTTACTTTCAATGTAGATCATACATAGTACAAATGGTTCGTACGTGACTTATCGGTGGCTTGGAACTTCACTCCGAAGATCACGTGGTATTGCGGGAAAAAAAGTAGTCTCGAATGTCGAAATGTTTTCTTCCAATTCAAATAAAATCAACTTCAACTTTATTAACATAAATGATGGAATGGTGCAATTGCATGTAGGGGCTTCTCATGAAACTGTGGAACTTATCCGTTCACCTCGGGAATTCGTTGAACTCATCGGAAGTAGCAAATTTAAGAGATCAAGTACATCCGAATGACAGGCAGACTATTTGTAATTCTTTCGATCGCTTTTCTTTGCATCTTTTTTATAATAACCAATTAAACGAGAACTGTATTTCTACAATAGAGCAACGTTATTGGGAAGGTATTCAATGCTTAAAGCCGATTTCTTGCGCTGTTTCAATTAACCGATAATTCAGCATGCGGAGGTTATACCATAATTAGCGGCGGTGTTTCCCATTTTGGGTGTGTTTTATATTTTACACCGATCACATGAAATCTGATCGTCTCATGGTTCATTTATCCTTTAACTCAATCAGATAGGAAGTTTATGCGCGTGTTCTAGAAAAATCAATAAGGACCTTGTCAAAGAATCATTCGAAATATCTATATATCTCTTTAAGAAGAGTGCTCCAAATCCTGAAATTAATCCAGCTTCGTCGTGGCTTACCATCGCGCCACAAATTTCGGATGAAACCTTAAACACGGTTATGCGCATCTTGATTTACCAACTATGAGCTTTAAATTAATCCAGGAGGGTGAACGTTTTGCAATTGAAGAAACCCAAATCTAGGGGCGAGTAACTAGAAATTAATTCGGGAAGTACGACCTCGATAAACGAATCCTATTTACCTTGTGAAAGGTTAATCAATTATAACGCGACTTGGCTATTTATAGATTCTGTTTCACCAAGTCAAATATAAAAAAGGACTAATCGCAATATTTTCTCTTTGAGGATCTTGATCTTTTCGCATCTTCCTCTATACCTTGCTTGATAAATCGTTCGCAATTGTAGGTCGCAAAATGTTTAAAGCAAAGATATTTTTGCCGTCTCTGTTCCTGTTTGCATTCTTCTTTTCCATAACATCCGCATTATGGCCAATTCCACAAAAATGGACCAAAGGGGATGACACTTTGGTAGTTTACCCCAGTATACCGATAAAGTTGAATCCAAACACTGCAAAAATCCTGTCCGTCAAATCTCAACAGGCCTTCACTTCTGCAAAGAATAGATTACAGAAATTTCTGGCGCAAGAACGATACGTATCTCCAAACGTAAAGTTCAATATATCTTCAAAGGCCAAACAACTTGACCACGTGATTATCAACGTCTCTACTGATCAAGACTTTGAAATAAACATCGATGAATCGTATACCCTCGAAATTTCCGAAGAAACATTGGTCGCTGAGATTTCGGCCAAAACCGTTTATGGTGCGTTGCACGGTCTCACCACATTCTCTCAGCTAGTATACTACGATAATGACTATTTGAAACATGAGAAGCATCAAAGACTTTATCTACCGTTTGCTCCACACAAGATTGTCGATGCGCCGGCTTTCGAGTACCGAGGTTTGATGTTGGATACCGCAAGAAATTATTATCCGATAGAGGATATCTTGAGAACTTTGGATATAATGTCTTGGAATAAGTTCAACGTATTTCATTGGCATATTGTAGATGCCACCAGTTGGCCGGTGGTCACTAAGGCATATCCAAAATTGAGTGAGAAAGGTGCATACGATCCGAAGACCATGATTTATACCAAACAAGATATTTCGATCGTTGACGAATACGCAAAGATGGTATGCATCAAATGAGAAGGATTCTACATGGAGAACCATCTCTCTTATTCACCAGTCGAATTATCTTTAGAAGCAAATACTACCCTCACCACCCTATTCTATTATTCTTTTTACAGAGAGGAATACATGTCGTTCCAGAATTCGATATGCCTGGACACACCCAAGCCATCGCTTCCGGTTATCCCGAGATGTATGTTGAGAAAGAAATATGCATCCCTCATAACAACGATCAATATTAACATGATGATTTTTTTTATTTCATCCAGAGTTTCGTGTGCAAATGAGCAACCTCGTTGGGATTTGGTAAGTTCTCTTCAAACTCCAAAACTAATTGTCGCGTATGCCTTTGTAATAATTTCATAACCATTTCACATTATATGCGTAGTACGCTGCCGAACCGCCAAGCGGTCAATTGAACCCCGCTATTCCCGAGACGTACACTTTCCTTGAAAATATAATACCAGAATTGACATCTTACTTCTCCGAAAAATATTATCACGCCGGGGGTGATGAGGTGAACATGGAGTGTTGGAACCAAGATGCCTCCATTAAATATTATTTGGGCAATAATTCTGGTAGCTCGTTGAATACCCTGATTGCCAAATTCATTGATAAAACACACGAGTTGGTCAGGAAATCTAAAAAGATACCTATAGCGTGGCAAGAAACAGTGGTCGAGTATAATTTAACATTAGGAAAAGATACCTTGATACAAGTGTGGAAAGACGACGTGACTTCAAAACAAGTGGCAAAAAAAGGATACAAGATGATAATGGGAACTAGTGATTATTGGTATTTAGATTGTGGGCATGGTGCATGGATTGGAAATTCGGTGAATGGTACTAGTTGGTGCGTGTTAAAAAGGTTCTTTCCATTGTCATCAAAAATGCGTTCTCATTCATCTCACTTTTCCTCAACGTTGTTCTAGGTGTGACCCATTTAAAACTTGGCAGAAAATATACTCTTACAACCCCACCAGTGGATTGACGGAGGAAGAGGCTAAATTAGTGATTGGAGGTAACGTGTCTTTTATTTTTATTTTACTTACCTATTTCTTAACGCGTGTTGATAACTTTTCTTGAATCGAAAACAAAAACAGGTGAAGTGCTCTTATGGTCGGAACAATCCGATCCAACAAACCTTGAACGTATGCTTTGGCCAAGGTCATCGGCTGCCGCCGAAGTTCTGTGGTCAGGCACCAACAATCGTAATGTGGTTGAAGCACTACCAAGGTTACATGATTGGCGATTTAGAATGGTGAAACGGGGTGTTCAGGCCGAACCGTTGCAGCCGCTTTGGTGTGCGAGAAATGGAGGTTGTGATTTGCCACAAAGTTAAGGAATGAGAAAATATTTGGATGACAACAGTTTGGGTGAAAGGAGAAAAAGAAAAAAGCAAACTTACTTATATATATATATTCGTATAATAAGGAGCTACCTCGCATATCTAACCGAGGTATATTTATTTATAGACAATGATTTTCTAAAGCGAGTGCTCGCGTTTTAATTGAAATATTCTTTCAAGAAAATAATTGAGGCTTCTCGTTTATCGTTCTACCACATGATTCACAATCCACCCTAAGATTTATAAAAAAAAAACCCAATTCTAATTAATTATTGAAATAGAATGACGCGGAAATTAATTTAGAAATAAAATTGAAGGATACAAATAAATCATTGGTGAAATTTTTAAATTTCCACATTGAACATTTGAAAAGCAGCCTATCATTGCTTCGTTGTTATTTCCTTTTCATTATGGGTATCATTCGCGAAATTCACGCGATAAAGAAGGTTTTAAAAGTGTGTCGATTTTATTTGGCTTGCTAATTTTCTCTCCAAAAATGGCACGCTTTTTGCTAAAAAAAATTTTCATTAATTAAATAATGATATATAATCAATTTATTTCTTTAGGACATTAAAGATTTTATAACTTCTTTTTTTTTGCCTTAGTAACCTGTTTATGCCTACAATAACTTAAAAAAATTAAGTATTATTTACTGTACATGGTAGAAAAGGATGCCATATAATTCCGGCCGGAATTATAAAATCTCAAAATGCGCCACAATACACAAAATCTCTTATTTAACGAATAAAGTTTGTATTTGACGCACTTATAAATCCGACCGGAATTATAAAAATTAGCTCCTAAATGCGTCATGATATTCTTTCTACCTTACATAAAAATATATTTTGAATTAAATTTTTATTAAATATATTAATATTATAGTACTTTTTTCTTTTTCTTTTTCTTTTCTTTTCATTAAAAACTTAATATAAACATATGAAATTAAAAGTAATCTGTCAAATTAGTAATATATTTTATTTAAATAAATAATTTATTTATTTTAATCAATTTTTCTTAAATCAAGAAAACCAAAACATATAAATTTTTTTTATTTGTAATAAATATTATTATTATATAGTTTTATTGAAATAATAATAAAATATCTTCAATATTATATTAATTTTTTATATAATAATTAACTTGTTTTTATATACAGCAATATTAGTTAAAAAATCTATAATATATTAAAAAAAATATAAAGTTCTCTAATATATTTTGAATTAAATAAAATTAAGTTTTAACTAGGTATTGTGATCAAATTTATATTTGACTAGTGTGTTCAAGTAGAATTGTTTTTAAAAGAATAATTTTTAAAGAAAGAATTAAAGATGTAATTTATAATAATTAAAAAAATAAATTCATTCAAAATTCTTCAAACAGTGTCACATAGTGTTTTATAAGAAATATAGTTTGTTCAAAATCCAAGTTTATTAATAAATCAAGAAAACTAGAACAATTCATTTAGTCCTAAAGTCAAAAGAAGATATTCAATTTTCAAGAAATCAAATGGAGTTATTTCTAAATTTCTAAAGTCAAATGAAGTTATACTAAAGCTTATCCTACTTTTGAGTAAACTATGACTGCTTATATACTGATAAAAATGGGCCACTTGAATCTCCCGAGTTACCTAAACTATAGTAAATTATGTCATATACTATATTTGATAAAATAATCTATACTAATTAAATATCAATTAAAATATCAAAGAATATTAATAAAATAATTATTAATAAACAGATAAAATAAAAATAAAATGAAAATAATGACTAAAAATAACTATTCAATAGTATTAGAGACTATTTTTATTATACTTTTTCTTTCTTAAAGATAAAGTTCACTGAGTCAAGTTTCCTTATATAAAGAATAAAATTATTTTGATAATTTTTATTAGTTATCTCAAATAGATAGTTTATGGATAAGAACTTTATTTGATAAATTTGATTTGAATTATCTTGAAAAATTTTATAGATACACCTAGCAGTGCAATAATAGTGATAAAAATTTTAAAATGGATTTTTTGAAGATACTATTGCTACAATTGTTTGAAATCCTAAACAGTATTCAATAGTTATTTCAAATAGTAAAAAATGATTAGAGTAACTATATAATCTAATTGTTGCATATATTACTTGATTTTCAAAAGAGTATTTTAATATTATCTTTCATTGAGGTGATAAGATTATATAAAAGTTTATATTAATTTGAAGTTTTATTCAAAATAGATAACATATTTATTTTAAATAAATTTGATTTTCTTATGGCTGGTTATTGGTGGTTAAGCTTAAATATTTTTTATGAAAACTTCTTTATGTAAATATTTCTTAAATATATTTAAGGTTGTACTATTAATGATCAATCCATCCCAATTTGACTTTATGTAATGGCTTGTTCAATTATTATCAGTTCCTGTTTACCATTAAATAGATAGATTTAATAAATAGTTTATCACTAATTCCTATATTTTATATCTCAATTTTTTTGAAAATATCACATATCAACAGACTTGAGTATGCTATTTAACATCCTAATCCAATGATTAGTTGTATCATGTTTGTGCAAGAAAAAATGAAATTTCTTGATTAAACTTTATTTTATTATTATTGTTTAAAATATGAAGATAAATTGATCTCCCTTCAGGCTTAACTTTTTATACTTTATGAGCAATTTAAAGTTCAGAAAGATACCTTGTTATGACTTTATCTTTATGATCAAGAAGCTATGGTTCAATATTGATAATGGATAACTTTGCTTCTCCAAGTAAACTCAAGATGATTGGTTTAGAAGCTTCTTCAATAGTTGGCAGTATACTTAGAAATTTAATTACTTCGTCTCCATATAAAAAAACTATAGATTCAACTAGTTTCAGCAAATATCCTTTCAAATTTATCTTTCTTCAGAACTATCAGTGAGTAACAAATAAGTTTAATTGATCTTCCTTTCTAAAGTATTTCCTCAACTTGCAATCCTTATATTTAGATCAAAAATCAATCTATAATATTAATTTTTCTCAAGTTTCAAACAATGTGTCTTTTTAAAAAGAAGAATCAAATAATTAATTTTGCTATTTATTTTTTAATAAAAATTCCTTTTGTCACTTGATACTGAAATATTTTGTTGTTATTGTGATGTTTTATGAATCAGTGACTTGTGATATGAGGTGATATTTTAAAAACTCTTATTTCATATTTACATTTTTCACTCCTAATAGATATTACATGTCCCATTACTTGCATATAATTATTATGACCATTCAACTATATTGTTATATTCAAAGAAGATAAATTAATAAACTAAGGTAAGAGAAACTATAATTAAATAAATAAATATAATAATAAAGAAAAAAATAAAGACCTGTGGATTAATAGCATAGTGTAGTAATCACAATGAATTGAATCAGATTGGATTTTAACTAGATTCGATTCAATCCAGATTTTATAAATACCAATCAGATATAAATCCAATTCATTTTAAATTGATCTGATCTGATTCAAAACTCTAACAGTTTGATCTAATCCAATTCAAATCTGAATTTGATTTGATTTGATTTGATTTGAATCTGAATTCAAATCTGATTCAGATTCGATGCAAAAACAATTTAAAACTGATTTGGTACATTTTGAATCTGTTTTAAAGCATGTTCAACTATAACTGCTTTAATTTAACTAAATTAAATTAAATATATTTAAATTA